ATATAAACCTTTTTACCGAAATGATTTACGGATGTAAAAATAGAAGGCAGGGCAAATAGTACAAAATTGAAAGAGTAGTGTTTGGGTTTAAAATGGAGAATTTTTGTTTTGTTTTAATCTTCCGAACGCACATGACCTGATCTAATTAGTAATATCAGCTGGATGCTGATACGTAAAAAGATTCTAAATGGTCAACTGAAAATCTTTGCGTTTCTTAAACGACCGCTTTTGTTTTAACAACAAACAACGTTGTTCCACCAGAACATTTCATCAAACATTTACGATTCAATAATAATCGTTGTAATTATATGAACAGTTTATTCTATTTTAAACCAACCACAGCTTTTCTTTGACCAATATCTTAAAACAACATAAAAATGCAAAGCAATATAGTTTATCCAATAAAAATATTACTTGGTTTTGACCAGATGATATAATAATTTGATGAATAATCTATGATTGATGTTTGATAGAAATTAAGTCTTTTTTTTTCTTTTTTCTTTTTGAAAATTGACAGATAATGGAACACAAATTAGAATATGTATTGCGTAACTCATTATGTAAGCAATAAAGGTTTATATTGAAAGTTGTAAAATACATTTTGAAAACAATTTCTTGGCTGGAAACAGCTTGCTTTCCCGATACAGATAATGAATTTCGTAATAAAGTTAATAATGTTGTTTGAACAACACTATGTGCTCCATGTCTCCTTTGGGAAATGCTACATTGTAATTTATTATGAAGTTTCAAGTTTTACTTCATGATTCTAAGATCAATAATAATGAACTGCTCAAACATTATATTCATGGATATAAGCTTATGCGTAAAATAGTCATGTTTACGCTTCATGATTGAAAGTAACTTGATATTAATATAAATAAAATATACGTCATAAAAATTAAAAATGGTTTTATGTAAAGGATTGTATTTAGGCGAACTAACATTGTTAAAACAAATGCTTTATTCATTATGTCATGGTCATGTTTTTTTTTCACCAAAATGATAACTAACTTGTTATATGACACCTGATGCACAAAATAAATACTTTTATTGCACTAACATGTAATACATGTACTGGGTAAACATATCGAATATATTTTGAAATGAGATAAAAGTGAAACAGTAGAATTACATTCAGACGTGTCACATCGATACCCTTTTGAGATAGAATTATGATTTTGCTATTAATCATAAATGTGTTCTATTTAAATTTTGAAAACACACATGGTATTGTTTAAAATTACAACAATAAAATAAAATTTATATATAGTTTCAGTGTATAGAAAATTGCCCAAAGTATTTTTAAAATATCTTAATCAATAAGTCATTTATATTCTAAACAACTATTTGCTTAATAAAGTAGTTGAAATAGTTCTCAATGTTTTTTTTTAAATTTTAATTCATCTTGAAATGATTAAAAGATCTCTATTTCTTGAAATCTGCGAATCGTAAATTTCACTTAGGGAACTATTTATGCACGACGCCTATCTGCATTTGTTTAAAAGATAATGTATGAAGAGGGATGAAACTCTATACAATGTTACGATCATAAATATGATTAACTAGAATGATTATAGCGTCATTTAAGATACCCATATTAAAATTTACTTAAGATACGGTATAAAATGAACTTTTATGACCATTTTTACGACGAAAACAACTCTTAAAATAAGAGATTGTAACAAGCAGATTATTGTTAAGTAATAAATATGTAAAAGATACAATAAGATTTATTGTAATGTTTATTTGTTTGTTTTGTTTGGGTTGTACGTCGCACCAACACAATTTAAATCATACCACGCCGATAGTTTGTCTATCTTCGGATGTCTCAAAATTAAAGCTACACCATGGGTCAAAACCATTGATCTGGTGAAACTAAAGATGCATAGACTCCAGTTAGTTGAACAAATTAAGTCACCTCTCAACCCTGAAATTATTATTATTGTAATGCAATATGTATGTTAAAGTTACAAGCAGATTATTGTAATGACTGTAATAAATATGTTAAAATTATACGCAAATAATTGTAATAATAAATATGCTAAATTAACAAGCAGATTTTTGCAATGTTATAGATATATGATAGTTATAAGCAGTTAATTATACTGTAATACATTTGTGAATAAAAACCCTGATTATTGAAACGTGATTTAATATGTGAATGTAACTCTCACAAAGGTGTTATATAATAAATAGACTGAAAGTTACAAAGAAGTTACTGTAAGAAAAAAGTAACAATGATGTTATTGGCTTGTGGCCACAGTCGCAAGCCATTTGTTTTGGAAAAGTTGTTCCGGTTAGGTGGTTTCCTGCTTACATTTGTTAGTGCATGATGGAACGGGAAACCAGTCTATGTTTCCGCTGCAATCTTGACAATTCGGGCAATTCCGTCATATTGCAGAATTAGACGAAGTAATATTACGGAAATCTAAGCTATTTTTCGTTACTTCGGTAATCCCAGTTTGTTAATATAAATAGGATTTCTATTTTTACTTGATTTATCGGTCTAAAGCGTAAGTAGAAGGAAGAAAAAAATTATAAACAAAAATGTTCCGTTTCAATTCGTTTTCAAGACGCAAAAGTTAGTTTCTTTTATGATTGATTTTTGTCTTTATTAGTTTTATCATTAGAGAATAGCTACTGTAGTAGTATTCCGTCTCCAAAGGACGGTCCTACTTAACAGAGACATAGATCTATGTACTTACCAATAGAGCGTGACCGAATTACACAAAGAATTAGTGCGAACAGATTAAAATTGCATAGCTCTATCACATTTGTCTGCGATCGAGTTATATTTAGATCTACTATATGGCAATGTTCAAAGCGGGATTCTAACCAAAAAGTAGCTCAGAATCTACTCAATACGTCAGCTTATTTTGACTAATCATAATATTACTTAAAATTTCAATAGAATGAACGTCAGCTCGTCTTAGTAATCATTCTCAAATCATTATTAAATTCTAAAACAGCGTAAGGAACAACTTGGATTGGCTAACTACATGTACCTTGTCGTTATTTCGTTTTTTTTCTCTTTTAATAGTTTGCCTTACAAGTATCAAAATTTAAGTATAGTGCTCTCTCTCCTAAAATATTTACTGTGGTATTAGACGGTGGACGTTTATCATATGAAAAATGATTGTTTCTAGTATGAGATGAGCAGGTGCTTATGCTTGACAAATACTAGGATACCCCTAGGGATGTATAAGGTGAAACATATCTGAAAACAAATAATGATTGACAAGGGTGTGGTGTTGACCATTAATAATTAAGTTTGTGAGTTGTGAATAGAGATATACTTGTTTGCTGTTTTCTTATCGATGGCATTGATAATCGATTATAGACAGTAGCAAAAGATAGTTCGTGTAATTGACTTTCTTGAAACTATAACTGGATACCAAATATAAACATTTTATGGAAAATAGAATAAAAATATTTCTGTGGCAAAATGGGCATGCATTTGAGTAAAAATGATCTACATAAATAACCAAAAGATAGGTTGTGATAACTTCGATCAAAAGGGAAACAGTTAGTCCTCTAGACCTCTAGACCTCTACTTAACTGCAAGATGGATACCCAATTTGCTTACATCTGACAAAAAGAATTAAAGAGTTAAATGCGCTCGATAGTAATTGAAAATGTTTTCTTGGTAAATATTATGTTTATGGTCTTTTAAATCCTCCATTTTGTAACTATAATGTCCGGTAGATGATAACTATTTTCACTTGTTTAATTTCAAATTTGAATGACTATATTATCATCAGACATAAGCCTTTTAAGGATGAATATCTGTATATTACTCCAATCTTTAGCGAAGGAAATCTAAGAAAGTATGAAAATGTATTGCTTTATGGACAAGAGAGGTATTTATAAAGATTTCCTGATAAACTATTAAGTAAGAAAAATCTCTAAAATTTAACTTCTTTTATTTAAGTAAGGATTCATATAGATTTACAAGGATATTACTAAAAATTCTTGAAAGATTTGACATTTAAGGTTGATGAATTAGAATAATTAAAAGATATAACTTCGTGTATTCTTAAAAATACGTACTAATGGATCATGCACAAGAATACATCAACTGCATGCTTGTCATACGATGAAGAGTTATTGACAAATTGATTAATCGCAATTGCAAAATTAATTTTTATTAAACCATGTCTTTGAAAGCGCATGTATCCTGATATATGACATTTGTCAGATAGTTCAAAATATTGGAAATTCCTACATTATATTATATACTATTCTACCATTGTTTCAACTATACCCATATCAATCTCTTCATAACGTTCTAAGATTTCAGAAAAAATACTGGATTAAATGAACAAATATAAAAGCAACAATAGCAATACTGGCACAGAGCAATAGGTAGTCACATGTCTAATGTGTGTAAAATAATAAAAATATACCAGCAGTTTTCTCCAATAATTTAGTCCGCCCTTTCGAAAACCGCTGTATCGTGTGAGAGTTTCACGGCTTCATGTTTAACCAGAACAAATTTCCTATGCATAAATATTATTATATTAATTGAAGTGAAGATAAAGATGAACAAAGAACTATGATGAGACAAAACATGTAGCTATTGATTATTCAGTTTGAATGTTTTCTTCTATAAACATTAAGAAAAACATGTAAAAAGAATACTCGCATCTTACCACTGGTCGATTAATTTCTGAAGCGAAGCGCAACATTGACACCGTTTCTGTATATTTTGAAATTGCTTAATAATATGTATTTATTTTTAATTTTATTAATATTCTTAAACACAAACTGTCAATTTGGTTCTGTTGTTTGATTTTACTTGAATTCCAATGTAAGTTATTATGAAACAATGTGCTGAAAAAAGGTGTACCACCAGTCAGGGAATCGTTTCTCCGGCAAAACATCCATTATAACGCATGCATATTATTCTTTTCTCAATTTACGAGTACATTATTTCTGGGGAACTGTCACTAGTATATGCATATTCTGTTATAGTTCATTAAAAGAAAACAACGATAGAATTGTAAGTAGTTAGCATTTTATTTAGGAAAATAGTAAACAAATGAATGTAAAAATATGAAATGACATTTTGACCAGCAAAAATATCAAACAGTAAAAAGAAATATATATAAACATGTAAGATAGGAAACAATGATAAAACAATGGTACAGTAATTGTTATTGATATATATTTGGCATAATCTAAAATGAAAGAAATGATCTGCAAGGCTGTAAAGCTGAATTGGCAAAAGATACAATAACCCTTTTAAAAACAATATAGTTATGGTGTTTCAAAACTTCTATGATCATTTATCACAAATGTTTTGACAAACAGTGTCTTTATTTTTTATCGCACACACATATTGTAAGAAATAAACATTCGGTTGTTATCTGATATATGTCTACTGTATATATGCACTGGTCGAGTTAACGCACACTCATCATTTTCTTTCAATTAAACATAATTCTATTGATAAAAGATAGCTCATTATGTGTGTATATCTGTATATCCTTTGATATGACAAATGAACCCGATGAATAAGTATAAGTATTATTTAAACATTAAATTCAAAAAGAAGATGAGCTAAAAAGGGAGTATCTACATATCAATAAAATCACTTTTGTAACAATAAATATGTTATCGCTCCATCACAGAAATATGTCCCGTGCTTTTTCTGAATATTTAGTCCAAATGTTATTTTCCCTCCGATATTCTAATTATGTGTTCTTTTATCCAGTATTTTATAATGTCAGTTGTATTGCACATATAATTCAATTGCTTGCCTCAGATTTTGCCATCTCCGGTCGCAAAAATAATGTATGCAATTAGTTAAAAAAAGAAAAAAAATATATGAAAAACAAGAGAAATAAAAGAAGAAAAATTAGACAAGGACGAAATGTCGATATTTAAGTATATATCACAGTCGAATACTTAATGTAAAATGATAAATATAAATAAAAAAAACAAACAGATGTTTTGAAAATGTGCTTATAAGAAACGAAGTAATCAATGCAAAAGGAAATGAAATTGTCGGTGTGCCCAATTCCTTTCAACAATTAAATGCCTGAAGATGGAGATAGAAATATACTTCATATCCTTAAATATTCAAACATATAAATTAAACAGAACACCAAATACAAGTACATTTAATCAATTAAAATTCAAAAAGTTTTAATTATCAAATATCAACAAATAAAAAACAAACATATTGCAATCAGCGGAAACAGAATAAGTACACATATATGAACACCTCAGTTAAGAACTGATTGCGAATTAATAATTTAAAAAAATCCAGCACATCATGATCATACATTTAACTTGCATCCGTGGCAAGAATGAAATCCCTACCAATGAGAGTGAAATCAAATTGACCAAAGAAAATTTGTTATCAATTATTTAATCAAAAAGGTGATTTTCACACACAGCGTTGGTGCAACAAATTAAACTACACTTAAAGTTTATCGAGAGTTTTTATGTACAAAGGCCAATCTCTTCCCATTCGCGTAAAAATCACATGCGGAAACAAAACGAGACATCATTGAAAGGTAAAGTAAAAACCCGCCTTCGTTAAGTTCCGAAAATGTACGATCAAAATAATTATCAAACTATACCAGGTATATAAAAAGATAATTCAGAGCTGCCAGGCAATAGTTTTGTATAAAATATACATATTTCAGAAGTCTCAGGAGGGCCTTTGTTAGTATAAACTTATATTTAAAATTATGGAAGTTTTTTGCCACAGTTAAAGTAAATTATGTAAAAGGCGGATCAAGTTGTTTGTGTACTTAAGAAAAATATATGAATGAAAGGAGTAACCATAAAACATGGCTCACAAAATGATATAAAATTTGAAGATTAGTCGATATCCATACATCATGACACACCGCAGAAGATTTTCGTAATCTTTCTATTTCTGTGAAGATTCAATTAGTACTTGAGTTGGTCTTCTGGGAACTGTGTGAAATAAGATTAGCTTACGGTTGATACTAAGTATTTGAAATGTTCACAGTTCCACAGTGATTTAACGTCTGTTGTTTGGATATGCCAATTTAAACTGGTTATATTGCTGATAACTCTGGAAACGAAATGAAACATATATTAAAACACAGTATAGACGGTTTCTTACAGTACAGAAAGTGTAATGAAAGTGTACCCACAAGTGCAAGCCAGTGGATGTTAAAATAGATCAATAGGAAAACGAAATCCTAAAGTAAAACATCCAAAACGGCAAAAGTTATAATGCAATGCTGCGAGCTGGGCGTGATTGAAAAAAATCCATGGCTAAACTGTGAAGTGCAAGTCACTGTTCATGCCTCTTTCACAGGTTCAAGCAGAATTCTATCTTAAATCCCTTTAATCATGAAAAGGTGAAATAACTTTTTGGAGACATCCGCAGATCAAGTAGCCTTCAAAGTGACACGTTTGTGCTATTGCAAGCCTCCAGATGTTATGAAAATTGATAAAATAAATAAAATAAATGATTTTTAATATTACTTCATGTAATTACTGTCACTATTATTTAGCTTTATCATGCGAATATATACATATGTAAGAACCGAAGAAATGAGGTGATAAAAGCAGTAGGTTTTCCAAGTAATTCGAATCAAGATTCCACTTAAATGTGAATGTTTAAAAAAAATCTTACAGGTCATTTATTCCTTTTTTATTTTTACTCATCTGACGGTGATTTAATCTTTTTTACGTATTTATTTCCATTCTAAATTTTGTATTGTATTATTTGTCTGTGCTTGTTTATTTTGAAGGGGGATGCTCGCATAGTCATAAAGGTATGCATGTGTGAAGGAAGTATAAATAGAACCAATACGTATCCTTGAATCCTATTACGCTCAATGTATTACTGAATTATAAAAATTCTGGATCGTGGTAATAACTGAAAAAAGTGCAACATTTGCCAATGTTTTGAACCGGCTTTATACAATTGGAAACACAAAAAGTCTTGAAATAAGTTCGACGTAATGTATCAACATTAAAGGGATATTTACCGAGACGAAGCTGCCACCTGAGAGGGTTGAAGTAGCCGCGAGCAAACCAGAATTTGTTAAATTGCTAACACCTGGTGATTCCTCCATCTTAAAATGCAATACCCCGTAATCTTTATACACAGGCCTTTGTAGTGTTACCAAGCTAATATGTGAAACAATATCCGTATCTGGTACGCCCACAGAATAAACCCGAAGCTGAAATACAAATAACAGAAAATTATTAAAGTTAAAGCTTTAATAAAACAATTAAAGAGTTAGTAGTTATTTAGCACTGAAGCATACTATTGACTTTTACTGAATTTGGCAATAGAAATGAGCAAAAAAATGAATATCAATATAATTATGAAAGTCCTGAAGAATACTGGAGACATTGACATAAGTTTAGTGTGTTCACTTCAAGACGTCGATAATGACAAAGTTGATTCGAAAAAACCGGATGTTAGCCCATTTATCCATATAGATATGTCAAATAAAAAAAATAAATTGAAAAAAGATAGATTTGGGAAAATTAAGATGCATCATAGGCAAGGACTAGAGTTTTCAAAATTTTAGAATTTGTTATGATATTTTTGATGTATTGAGGATCAAAACATATGAATCATTGGCAATACATTCTGAAAGCTCTATTTTCAATGGAAAATAAAACTTTATATTTACAATGTAGTAAACTTTCGTTGAAGTTTCATACATCTATACGGGTAAGTAAAAGCACATTTTCTTTAAATTTTGCTAAATCAAATCGTAACATTTAAGAGTAAGTTTCGACATTTCCCATGATATTCCTTTAACTGATGAATGCAGGTCGTCATACACAATTGATCAGTAGGTCGAGAGTAGGAAGTTCCTTAGTCATCACTTTAATAAAGTTTTATTTTCTTCCCGTTAAAGTTAATGAGAAAAGTGATTTATACCGGTACTAACATAAATTTGGAAAAAAAAACTTTTCTATGACGATATTAATGGTTTTGGATATTGTTATGAATATTAGCTATGCAATAAATAAACTTGTGTTGCGAGTAACACCTAGGCAGCTATTCTTTCTCTTTTGGGAAATGTTTCATTGTAATATATTAGGAGGTATCGTTCTTAATCATGACAAAAACACAGTGTTAGGATAGAAGAGACACAAATTAACCCATTAACTTGCTGTTACATGTGTGATTTATTGAATTATGAAGCTACTCCTTTGTAACTGAAAGACACATACAATAAAAGTCTTTTAGTTTTTGAATTTGAAAAAAGGACAGATCTAACACTTAACCAGCAAAATTTCTTTAATTTACTTATTTAGCTTCTATTTCTTTGAAACAATCCATTATCAATTTTAAGAATTTCAAGATAAAAGATTGAAAACAGTTAACAGTACAGAGTCTAGTTAATGCAAGTATGCATGGTTCTATAATGATGGTTGCAAGCGCTTAATATCCTTCACGATTCCAGCAACTCAAGATAAGGATTTATTGTATAATACTGTTATAGTTTGTTTACCTCGTCTATTGAGCCCTTGAAGAAAGTGTCATTCTGTTTACCAATATACAAAGTTAAGTCGTTTGTTTCCGCTTCAGCAGTCTGCATAAGAATAAAATAATGTATAAGCATGAGAAGAACATATTCCGCTTCTTAAATAACATTATAACAACTCGGTTTATATGATCTTTTGAGATGTGATATGCAAATCACTCTATAGCCTTAGATACTACAAATACATCATTGTATACATTTACAAATTGTTCAATATCAATTTCTAAAACCTAATGTATTGTAATTATTTATCAATTGAATATGAAGACTTCAGTTAAGGTGACATGTTATGGCCACAGTGTTCGGCACTTCACAGTTTGGACTTACAATCAAAATTATTTCGGAGTCAACAAATGGCCATAAATTAACATTGAAATTTGTTCAATTTTCAGCGATACTAAAATTGTTGAGCTTACCCAGTTAACCATCAAAGCAGAACCTGTTAAACCATCTTGTACGCCATCAATAAATATTGTCAAGCTGCCATCTAAAGGGAACAAAAACATAATTTGCATTTATCAAATGTACAAAACATATGTGAAATGTTTAATATAGAATATATCGATCCAAAAAGTGTTTATGAAAATGATTTACGAAATAATAGGCAAAGCAAAGTGATTCCTACCTTCTATGCTACTTCTGTAAATGACATTATACCAGATATCTGCAGATAGTGGGGTCGTCGACACTACTGATTCTGAGCCATATTGTCCATGAATCAATGAATTCTCCACCCATAAACATAAGCTTCCGTTAGACGTACAGAAAATGGGATATGGTCCTGCCGTATAGCCGCTGTCCAACTTAAGCCATGCCTCAACCGTGAAACTGTCGACAAAGAAAGAAAACTTTAAAATAGTAGCGTAAACCAAGTTAGCTTGAAGGGTGAATAACATTTTGCATTTCGTTCTTTAAAATGTCTAACGGAAATGATATTTCCTATTAAATACATAAGACATCATCGGATATTGCATTCCTAGTATTGATGTAATAGGAGGGTTACTTATAAAGAAACGGAATGCTTCATGTCTTTCGACGAAATTCTTTAATCATTGAATTTGCACTGGTCCATTATTCTTATTAATAACAGAATGGTGATATGTTTAAGTAAATAAAGTCACAGTAACGCAATGACAATAGCACCTGAGTTGTGAACACCGTATGTAAAATTGATCAATAAAATTTAATAAAAACAATCTTAAGTTTATGAATACAGTTCATCGATTATTAACTATTATATAAAATCAGTAACCCTTTGGTTTTACCTTTGATTGATTTGTAGAGTGAACACATCATCTAGTGTTACAAAATCGTCGATACCATCAAAGTGTAAAGCTTGATTAATATGGTCCAAACATTCAGCTCGGAGGTTGGACCAGATAACGGACATGTCACCAAACTGCAACACTCCAAGTCTTCCACCAGATATTGATGAGTCATAAATGGAGCCCGAGTCAACCATTAATGTGTAACCACGGTATACTTTGATACTAGAATTTGAAAGATAAGTACAAAGAATGGATTAATATATATTCTATTTACAACTTTTAATATACAAATTTTCTAAACCATTTCTCTTTTAATTATTACATGGTACATCAAGAACCCAACCCTCACAAAAAAGATATATCAACTTTGTATATCAGTGTTCTTAAATGTAATAATTTTTGTACAAAATGATCTTGAGGTCAATATTCTTCTTAAATGGAGAAATACAGACTCCCTAAATAACGACCAAAACGACAACATTAAAAATGTTGCAGGGTCGGTTTGATTGAGCCTGTTTATTGGGTACTGGAAATAGGTTACCGTCCACGCCCCCTAGCACCGGCCTAAGCAGAATTCAACATTTATACAAGAAAGGGTTAAATTTGGAGAATGAATTTCTTACAAGCATAAGGTGAATCAACGTCATGCATTCTAAAATAACTTAATATTATCAACCGTATCACTACCAGAATGTACATTTTCATTTAAGTCTAAGTAAAGATTTGTTTTCTAAAGTTGCGATAGCATAAAATTACTAAATAGTTGGGCAAAATATTGAAGGGATAGATAAAAGTTGGATGACTTACTTAATATATCCTACAGACGGTTGATGAGTAATAAACCATCTGTATGACGTTTCCGGCAGCCAACCTTGCAGATCGGGATCCTGCCATATTAGTTTTGTTTCTCCAACCGTGTCGTAACTGTGCCATATCGCTTCTGCCATTGTAGTCCCAGGACCGGTGCTCGAATCAACCACCTTTAAAGTTATTAGATATGGTTCTTTGTAATATATTAATATGAAACCTATGATTATAGCTCTATTTGTATATTTTCCTTTTATCATTTTGACAAAGACGAATAAAATACTAATTATATCATGCAATCTCTAATATGTTTTGAATTGAGATAACGTAATTATTCAATTTGGATCGTCGCCTTCTATCTTTTGACAATAAATAATCCCATTTATCAAAAGGTATGTTAAGCAAAATGGAAACTCGTATTTATCATCATGTACAAATATATGTATTTCGATAACAACGCTTTTTTTCTTATAAAAAATTATACCTTTAGCTGGATTCCTTTAATGCCTGCTTTATATGTTGAATTTCCATAATTGTAATGAACGCCTTTCCATGTTACAACATAAAATTTTCTGTTGCTTGTATATCCAAAAACACAGGCAAAGTAGTCCGTTGCGGATGAATATTTAGTAAACCATGTACCGGCGTATTCAACCGCTCCATAAGCTTGTTCACCTGATGAAGAAATGTTTATCAGGGAATAAATACAAGATGTACATAATGAAGATTTATGAAAGAAAGAAAGAATATTTCCATAGAAATGCTAATACAATATAAACAAAAGCTTGGTTTTAACTGAATTTACGAGTTAAAAACTGCTTCATTATAATTTATATTTTAAACATAAACCGCGATATTATTAAGTGGTAGAGAAACAGTGTATCAAAAGTTAGAATGATTAGTATGAATGATATGAGAAATATCATTACAAGAGCCGACAACTATATGTTATAATGCTTACATTGACAACAAAACTATATCCAAAATAAAAAATAATATGTTAACAGAAGAGCACCTACCGAATGCTTTGGAAATTAACACATCTTTTCACAGGTTAAGATTGATTTTATAAAATAAATATTGTTTCCCAATTTGCCAACAGTAATTTACCTATAAGCATCACAGGTTTCCATGTATGAACAGTCTGCTGAACTTCAGCACCATTATCTTTCACTTCCCAATATGGTTCGCCTGCCGAAACTGATGGGTCAAGGTCGACCGTGAAATAATTGCTAAAACTTGTAGCACTAATTGCCGGATTGTGAGGACAGGTGTCATTCTTGTCTATAACGGTGTCTCCGTCGGCGTCTGTCTCACAATCGTCACCAACGCCGTTACCATCAATATCATCTTGACCTACATTACTGTAATACGGACAGTTGTCTAGACCATTGATAACTGTATCACCATCTATATCCGAGTCACAAAGGTCCCCTGGAAAAATATATACAAGGTCAAAATAGTACAAACATAGTTATTGCTCATGTACGTATAATTTTTGAGTCAAGTTTTAATACTTTTTAACTGACTTGTTATTCTGGAATGGTATCTCCAGCTTAATTATTTTAATTGTACGTTTCTTGATAAACCTAAAACAGATAATTATTCATATTTCTGAGCATGGGATAAAGTATTTAAAATTTCTTTTTATTATAAGTGCATAAAAATCGTGCCCAGCAAATATGAATAGTGCACTTATTTTTAGAAGAAAAAAGTGCAACATTAGTAAGTTGTGGACTGACCTGTGCCATCTGAGTCAATGTCCGACTGGTCAGCATTCGGATAGGCCGGACAGTTATCAACAATGTCCAAAATACTATCTCCATCTCTGAAATAATTAAATCATTTTTTATCATTACACTTTAAAAACTGCCAACATTTCAATTTTTGTATAGGACAAAATGGATCTTAGTAGTTACAAAATAACCGTCTTGCTAACGAACATATCATATATCTTATTGTCAAGAACAAACATACTTACAAGGAGACCCTTACTTATAAAGATCAATAAATACGTCTGTCTTAATTTAATACATAACATCTTTATTTCTTAGAGGTAATTACCTACATTAGCTAAGATGAAATCGGTTTTAATTCCTTGTGTATTTAATTAAACACTTGCGAGTCTTATAAATTTAATTAGCGTAAGTGTTTTCCATTTATTCTGGAATTTTAAGAAATTATGACATACAGATAAGAATTAATCTCAGAACATTTTCGCTAAAACTGTACACAATATTTGAATCAGTATACAAAACAGAAAATTTATCTAGGAAAGCAAAAACTATTTTACCCACATAAATGAAGTACAAAAAAGAAAAATAAGAAAAAAATTCAGATATCGTTAATAGAATACTTTAAGTTGATATTAACTCAGGTCAGAAAAATATTCTTCCCATGAAACCAATACTGACTAGTTTGTGGAATCATACTCGATTGATTTATAAAAGTTGCAAGAAAATGTTTCATTTGCTTCTTGCTAAAATGATTAAAATTCATGAAAAGGTAAAGTTTGTAAAAAGTGTATTTTTTTTTAACAAAATCATGAAAACGAAGATGGTAACCGAGCATTATGTAAAGTAATATCTTGTAGTACGACGTTGGAAATCACACTAATTAAACGGATACCCTTTAAATAGTGAAATATCATTAATATTTGACACTCTTTATTACTCATAATATCAATTATGAAATCTCTAGGTTACGGAATAAGGTTTCAACTTACTCATCTTTATTGATACCACCGACGGTATCACATGCATCACCAACACCATTCTGATCTGTGTCTAATTGGTTGTCATTATTTACATTGACACAATTATCACATGCGTCTCCTACAGTATCACTGTCACCTGAATTCTCCTGTCCGGCGTTTGCTACTAGCGGACAATTGTCACTACCATCAACCACACCTGAATTCATAGAACAAAAGTTTCAGGTGAATGTCAGACTTCAATAACATGATAGCACTGTCACATGTAATGCCACAACTTTTACCATTAAGATATATTCAAAAAGAAGACATTAAAACAAACATACTCATAATGTGAAAAGTTATTCTGTGTTATAATTTGATTGTTTAAATCTATCAACATCAATAAATGTACAGGTGTTTGACTTTATAAGCTGCTTAAAAAAGTCAAAGGTGGGTGAATGCAAAAAGCATAGGTGCAGAAATTAAACTGACAAAATATACAATGTATTTCATTAAATAAATTGTAGCAAGTTATAATGATATTTTGCTAAATAAGAAATTTACCGTCGCCATCATCATCAGAGTCACATACGTCACCGGCACCGTCGGCATCTGTATCGATCTGGTCGGCATTAACATCATTTGGACAATTATCACAAACGTCGCCAACACCGTCGCCGTCAGTGTCCAACTGATCCCAGTTGAAAACAAACTGGCAGTTATCCTGGTTAATTAATAAGAAATATATGATTTTAAGTTTAATATTAATGACTGCATGCATGTAGAATATTAATTTAAAGTGACATTATGTCAATCCATGTGTAAATGGTGAGTGAACGAAATATCTTATTATTGTTAAGATTGGTCAACATTGTTTCCAATTCATTATTATGTTACACTTTAATAATCAATAAGTCACGTGACCAACGGAAGTTAGTATAAATATCTTTCGTATAATATGCAGATTTTGAATTGTTTAATTTTTTTCTTACCATTGTCATATTCAAATATTAGCTATTTAAATAGTCATTTAAATTCAGCTCAACTTGTGAACGAAAAAAATGAGCATAATATCACTTTAAGCAATAGATTTATTCTTCATATCACTGACAAAGTGGGATTTGTGTAAAGTTGCAATTTTCGAAAATGATACATTATCTTTATCTGTTACGAAGATATCCTAAACGTCAACTGATGTAAAGTCATATTCCTAAGGGCGGATTTCAATATAAAATAGCATTTATGCAATATTAAATCTTCAAAAATTTATAAATCTATCGTAAAGTATCAAATCATTAGATTTAAAATTAAGCCTAATATTACAATTCTGGATTTCATATCACTTCTAAAAACTCTATTTAACAGAAATATTCATAATTTCAATTGATTCACAAACCAGATAATCCCATCTGCCATCGTTATCGTCGTCATCATCACAATTATTACCTTTGTTATCACCATCACTGTCTTCTTGATTACTATTAGATACATACATACAATTGTCCTGAAAAATAAACATTTAAAATTTAATTATATAAACTACACACTGCTCTTTGATATTTTTTTTTCCGTTTTCCATATGTAGATACATCCAAACACTACGAGTTTAACAATAGATTTTGAAATTATATGACATACATTTGCCAACAGTTCTCTATTATAAAGTAACCCTAACTATATACATTTCTGTTGGTACGATTTAAATATTTAATCATCAAAGAAAAAAAGCTCTTTAATCCCAATCAAATTAGAATCATAAGTTAAAACCATACCCTGAAACATCCCCAGTCTACACATGAAACTCCTCTGTCTGGATGACCATCATTATCCGAGTCTAAACCACATCTTTCTCCGTTACCAGCATATCCGGGTTTACACTAAAATATAGCAACATATCATGCTAAACAAAAAATAACAAAGTTACTACCCTTTGCAACAAGAATTATATGATAGCTATATGAAGTCTTAATATAGAGTCAATATTATAATATTTTCTCTAATTTGGGCCAAAAGTTACTACCCTTTGCAACAAGAATTATATAATAGCTATTAGGGCTGTAACAATACGGTAAAAAGCGTATTGCAATATATTGCAATACGCCACATCCGTATTGCAATATATTGCGATACGTATTGTTATTAATGTTAGGTACTGGGAAATAATTCAGAAAAAGAGAGTTATATTATTTCAACAAATATTATATATATATCTATATCTCTCGCAAAACATAATTAGTGATACTTCCTTTAACAAAACTTTAAACTGTTTTTAACTATTTAAGCATCAACTATGAGAAAAAATAACAGCAAAATAAAACTTGAAACTTTTCATTAAGTCACTGACAATCAAAACTATATCGTAATGATTTCCTTAACACAGTTTCATCAAAGGGATTAAGTGTTGACAGTTGCAAATTAATTTCATGTTTTTTCTTAAGAAAAAATTAACATGTCTACTTTGTCAGCATCCAGTGAAGCACTTTGTGCAGACAAGATATCACCTGCAGTACTAAACACCCTTTCTGAAGGGACACTTGTTGCAGGAACACATAAGTACTTTCTTGCTAAACTAGCGAGAAGAGGCAATTTCCATTCATTGTCCTTCCACCAGACTAATGGGTTTAGCACCTAAAACTCAGGGTTTCAATTTGTAGGTAGGCATCCCATTTTGCTCCTTGCTTGATTCCATTTTAGTTTTGGTTCCCTGTAACATTTTTACAATGATTTACATCTTCAAGAAGTAATGCTAATCCTTTTGAACCTGCTGAAGGTTTTCTACTTTCTGGACTGCTGGTATAAAACAGCCTCCTTCTGAAAAATATATTAAACAAAACAGGTAAAGAAATCTGAAAATAGAGAGATTATTATGAAATATAGTCCCTAGAACTTAGCAACCTTTACCGAACGAAAATACCGCACTACTGTTTCATGATTTAACAGATTAGTGAGTTATGTACATGAAAAGAAAACTGAAAACACATGACATTAGTAAGTTATTTTTTGGCATTTGGGCCCATAATCGGCAAATGCTATATTTCCAACCCAATGATTTGATTTGGATTTGAAAATGATTTCAATGGTCTATGATTTAAAACAATTATAAATTACCAGCTCAACTGGGTAATGCCTGGTTCAGACCCCGTGGCCTCTGTTTCCCTCCATATCAGATATAGGACTGGTGTCAGATTCCCCTGTTTAACTAGAACCTTCTGTGTGGAAGCAGGCCTCAGAGATTACTTCTGTTTGTTATTGGAAAGCATCTTCCTTCTGAGAAGCCAGGAAATGTCTTAAACCTTGAGTTCAAGTAGTGTTGTGCATTCAAGGTATGGTAGAAGATCAGAGTACCTGTAGAATATTTAGAGAAAAAATCAAATACATTTTCACAAAACAAACTTACAAACAATGTTAAAATTTTACAAATGAGAAATGCAGGGAAAAATGTTGTTAACTGTAATAAGATCTCAAATAATTGTTTCCATTTCTTTTATGATAAATAAATATTGCAACGTTAAAAAACCTTAATTTTCAAACTCACTTATTAAATCATCAACCTCTAATTTAAAGTCATTCATGTATATGAACAACATGAAATAAAATTAATACAATACCTTGGGGTTGAAAGGTTCTGTGATATTGCAGTTTTCAGTTGTGAGATGGCTTGCATATCATCATCTTTGACTGAAAGCCCCTTTGATAAGCTTTTCTGGAAGAGGCAGTTATCAGAGAAGCTGTTTGGCATAGATTCAGAGCAAAAGGGCTGTTTACAGCTGTTGCGTAATTCGGAATCAGCACTGACATTATGTTTTCCGCAAGAACCGATATTAAAACCTCACTTAAAGTAGGCTATGTCAACTTTCCTTTGCACGAATATTTTACTCATAAGGGCCCTGTGTGTAAATGGCTGGTTGAAGTTCAAGAAAACTTTCAACACATGTCAAACAGCTGAATTCCATTCGGGTACATACCGTCTTGTATTAGCTTTAACTTGTCGCAAGCCCAAAAGTCTTAATCCCTTGTCACGCCCAATATTGGCAGCTGCTGTTGTACTTCTATGGAAGTAAAGAGACAACCCTCCTGATTCTGCCAAAAGTAAACGAGAACACCACTATTTAAAGCAAGACCCTTCTGTACTGCAAAAATTTAAAAGGTGTGTGGGCATAACAACCCAGGTGTGGTTGACTGCCAAGGTAATCGTGCTGCAGCCAAGCATATTTGCGCATTTGTCGGTTTACAAGTGGTGGATTCTGTGGTAATTTCCACTCTGTTATAGCTTCTCTGATTACCTGTGGCAACATTTTCTTGCTGTATGGATCTGCATGGCATTTGCTCTGGTCTGAAAGAACATTGACTTATTAGTTCCCAGTCATTAGTTATATGGCAATGATGTGATTTGTAATGTAGGACTCTGTAGCCCGACTTTGTCCAGCCCGTCAGTTTGTCAAAGCTACTGTGTGTGATTTTGACAAACTCATCGACGACCTTTGGATTTCACACTCTGATATAATTCTGGTATCAAAGTTTGTGAAAGGGATAACTAATTAGGATTCTAATATATTTTATGAAGGTCACGAAAAACCCTTTTCAATTGCTTACAACGCTAAAAGGGGCTCAGATCTTTTATGATAAAAAATTTGCTATTTTTGAACGAAATCAACCCTCGATCTCTCAGTTTGTTTTGTATTGTTGCCTTTTATTAAAAGTTCCAGAACAGTTTTGGTTTGTTTGACTCCCCAGCTGATGTTGTAACAGCAGATGACATGTTAACAGAACTTTTGAGGCAGGCAATAATTTTATCATTTTGGTGATGCTTTCCCAAGTGCGTTCGTAATTTGTAGTACCCCCACCACATTTGAATGCTACAAGACACCGGCATCGTACAAAACCGCGGTATTTTCGATAATTTCATGTGTCTCTCTTTTCCCTTTTAATTGAAAAGAATGCCAAACGGCACTCTTTTTTTTGGATTTTTAAATCAAATCAATAATTATTTTCGTCTCTGCCCATAGTTAATCCCATAGCTTTAACCGAAGCGCTTTGCATTCGTTTTATTTCAAGGGCATTTGTCTTACCCCGCACCGTGTATTTTTTTTTAATACTAACACCGTTTTTTTACACGCTTCCTAACTTTCGGTTTGTTATTTTTCTTTTCGTTAAAGCGAAAGTCTATACAGATTTTCATGGCCCCTTGATCTATTACAAATTTATCGGGCCGTAAACCCGTCTGACAGAGAACCGATTTTCAGCAAAACATCAGGAAAATGGCGCCGCCAGCCGATGTTTTAAATAGAAGAGTATGAAAGGGGAATACAGTGTTAGATATCATCGAGGGATATGTGACCCAAAGGGGTTTCAGAAGTCTTGGTTGTCATGGTTTTTTTGTTTATGTTAAAAGGTTTATTTTTACAAGGATTAAAGGCTAACATCTTTATCAGTTTTATATCTTTGGGTACCCAATTTTGCGCTAGATGATAGACAGTCTTTTGTGTAAAAATAATATTGTTGAATCTCTTACTTTCATAATTAATATGAAATTAGGCAGAAAGCCTATGAAACGGGGAAAAGGGACGTGACCGATTTACTAATGTTATTTGAACTTTGTGGTCCAAACCCTTTTTCTTTCAAAATGTATTTATATTATTTTTCTTTCTATAATTTGATAATTTTTTTGTACATATTGTTAAAAAAATTGAAAGGAATAAAAATTGTTTAAACCTAAACGGGGGAAGTCGGTAAAAAATCCTTTCATTTTTTTCCGTTTTAAAGGTTATATTGGTATTATAATGTAACCCATTCCGTTTTCACTTTCGGAACCACTCGACGATTATTATTCTCCAAAAAGTTGAGAAATTTGTTCCGTTTATCGGGAAATCACCGCCTTTTATCATTGAGTTACATTGTAAATGGCGGCCGGGCCTAACTAAAACTGACACTGAAAATTTCATTGATAGGTATAGAAAATTCTTATATTTTTTAATTATTTTTTATTTTTGAATTTTCTTTTTAAATATACAGTGTAAGTCCCTAGAGCCGGGCTAAGCCAAAAAGCCCGGGACCCGCTTCGCGGGGCCCGGTCTTTGAACTTCCCCGTATAAATCAAACGTTTCACAATAATTCGGCAGATGGGGTTCAGATAGATGAGTTACTTCCCTTACGGCCTTAGTTCCTTATATGAATTTGCAGTTAAAAAAACCATAGGCACTTGGGTTTCGGGGAGAAAAAAGCCTTTTGAACGGTTTTGTAGAACTCAAATTTGATTGAATGTAACG